AACAAAAGATACAAAATAAAAATATTTCAGATCAGGAAGCATACTGTATGCCAACAGACAACCAAGAGGGAAAATGCTCAGTAGTGGCAGGGACTCCGCTCTCAGGATCTGATGTGGTGGTAAACTGGTACCTAATGGTTTACTAAAGCTATTATCTCTTTCTTACTCTGGCTAGTCGGTAATGGCGTTGCTCCCTTTTCTTTTCTTACCACATTATTGTCTCTTATCTATTGCTGCTTATATACAGTAGTATCTCCTGTGGAGATCTTTAACAAGAGTGAGGAGAACACTCCACTCTTGCAGCCATGAAATGGAAACTCAATTGTCATTAACCTCTCTGTAATCTTCCACCACATTTGAGGAAACTATTCTGGCCTTGTCCTTCAGAAAGGACCATTAGGCAGAAAACAATGAGCAAATGAAGAGGATCCAGTATACCTGGTTGTGGTTGTGCCTTAAGTAATAGCATGGCATGTTCACACTTACCTACTGTACTGTATATAGTGGTCATAGTACCATGAAGCATGTTGGGGTTTGGAAAACCTTTGATTAAGATAACAGCCTTAAGTATTGGCCATACATGTCTAAGGACACGTTGCAATGATTCTGTACATGTGTAAAAGCTACAAACCTTGCTAACCTTGAGTATCACATGTTCTACAGTATATCACAAAACTCCTTCAAGACCTTCGATTGCTACAGCTGATCTTATTGTTGAAATGCCAGTCACTTCACATGGATACCGATGTGTTCTTCTTAGTATTGATTTTTTTTTAAATATGCCAGTTTCAATCCTGTTTTAAATAACTGAGCTACTGGAATCACAAAATATCAATTTGAAAAACACATTGTTGACCGGTGTCCTTGACAAAATCCACACTGATCAGGGGCAGGAAAATTGAATCTAATCTTATCAATCAATTCTGATAGATCACAGGCATAGCAGAAATACATACAGTACCACATTGTGAATCCTCCTAGTGATGACATAGTTGAAAAGTCCACATGTACTATGAAAGACTAACTTGCAATTTCAATAAACTAGGCTTGAATGGGGCACACTTCTTCATGCATGGCTTGCTTGCCATACTAATGATCATTCTAGTACTGGTTTCATCCCTTTGATTTTTGCACATGGATGTGAAGAATTCCTTCATATTCATTGTATCCTTGGAGCCTCAGATCACACTGCTCTGTCTGCATTGGCTTGGACAACAAAAGGCGACATGTTAACAACATTCTACTATGAGTTAGGCCTGTGGTATCAAGTTTCCAGTGAAGGGGAAAAATTGTTATTATTGACCAAGCCAACTCTCAGAATGAACTTCCACCAAATTTTAAGAAACTTTCAATATCAGACCTTGACTCCCTGCAAAGGGCATAAGAAAATCCTTAATTTTGTAGAGAAATATGCATGGTACACATTGAAAGCAAAATCACTATAGTACACCTCAAGGAGCTTAAACCCTGCACTGCCACAGAGAAATCTGTTAACCTGTGGAAATACAGCAATCCTGGCTTTTGCAGCCAATAGTTAGCATTGCTGCCTAACAAAACACATGGTTTAATTCTGGACATGGGCTTCTGTCTGAGTGGAAATTGTATGTTCTCCCTACGTTTGTCTAGGTTTCCCTTCCCACCATCCAAAGATGTACTGGTAGGTTAATTGGCTTCAGGGAAAACTGGCCCTAGTGTGAGTGTGTGCATTTGTGTCTGCGTGTGGCCTGCAATGGACTGGTGTCCCATCCAAGTTGTATCATGCCTTGCGCCCATTGCTTGCTGGAATAGTATTTGGCTCCCCTTTGAGCATGAATTGAACAAGGCTATTAGACAATGGATAGAAGGAAAAATACATAATAGGTATTATAAAGCCTGCTGAGTATACATTTTAATCTCTGCAAGTAGTCCTCTTTCTCCAGGATGAATAACAAATAGATTTTCTATTTAATTAAATATTTTAGCTGCAAAGTGTATTTGAGTATGCTAATAGTAATTAAAAGTCTTTATTACACAACCTGTGATGGAACACAGTTGGGATCAGAGCAGACAATCCAGATATAAAGTGAGAGAACAAGCTGAGAGGAATTATTTTAATACATGTTTCTTCAATGATTTCATAAGAACTGCATCTCTGTATAATGGTATTTTTTAGACAAAAGTTAAAGTATGGCAACCGAAAAATATTGGTATAGCAGTGTTACGTGCCGTTAAATTGCATAAATTTATATTAAGATAATTTCATCCCAAAAGGGGAGATATGATCTTCTCCATCTGTCCACTTTCTTGTTGCCTTGTCAAAGATAGTTTAGATGAGTTTTAATTAGAGTATCATGTTCACAGTTATCCAAAAGAATGACATTGGAAATGGCTTTGGGGACTACTGTAATAGACTTTGATTGAGGAAGGCTCCTTAGCACTGCTTTAAAATGAATAAAATATTTCATATTTCACAGTCTCTTAAACACTACAAGGTCCTGGAAAGTGGAAGCACCAGAGAAGCATTAACCAGCAAAGGTAAGTGGACACTGAGAAAATATGTGTTTACGAAATTGGTTTTCTCTGCTGCCTGAAGCCTAAAGTAAATTAACATACTCGTTTAATTTACATGTTAGAGTGATGTGAAGTTTTAATCACCTCCTAAATTTCACAAACATGAAAATGTGTTTTTCACACAATGTTCTAGGATTTCAAGCCTTTTGGCGTTACTTTACACTAAAACCTTAAAGGATTTGCATTGTCCTTCAGAAAAGAAAACTGTTAAAATGTAGCCTACCCACAAGGATGTACTATGTGCTCCATGATTACCACACAAATGCACCAGCATGTCAATGCCAATGGCTACATGATAAAATGTAGCTCCGTATACAAGGATTCAATTAGATTTGTTCTGAAAATTAAATTGAAACACACAGTATACTGAACATGCACTGTCCTAGTCTCATTCAGGAGCTTCAGGATGTGCTTGATACTGTACAGTATATGCCTCAACCATTTACTCAAAACCTCCATTTGTGTTTTTATTCCCCTCATAACACAAGTTGTTATTAAAACAGCTTACTGTGGAAAAGAAGAAACCAAGCTTGCCATTTAACAATCTCTGCTTCACTAGCTGGGTGTTCCTCATTATTCACATAATTTGTTCCTCTCCACACATTTGTGAAGGATACTTTCCATACACCTAAGTACCGATCTATCAAGATTAACTGTTTAAGAAATGCCTACAGTTTTAGAATAAGCCTGACAGAGAAATGTGCAATCTGCAAAAAGATGCATAAAGACTAAATGAAAATACTCACATTAATGTAATTTTCAATCTAAAGCATGATAAACAAGAACAAAAACACATAATTAACAGAGAAAATCCAAAACTGAAAGACACCTACAAGGAAGAGAAGTACTGTACCTGAAAATAATATACTTTAGGGACAGACAGAACAGAAGCATTGAAGTCTCAAAAGACTGACAGAACCCCCAGGTGTTATCCATCCATCAAACGTATGATGGTCACATTTGCAAGGTACTGTAATGCAATTGCAAAGGATCTGTTCTGATGAAAAAAAAAATCCTACTGTATACAGTATCTGTCAAGTGTTGGTCCTGTCTTTAATTTTGTTATTTAAAAAAAAAAACAAATGTATGTTTTTAATTTTATTTGGTGGTTCTACAATGTTTGCTAATCTTTCTAGTTTGGTAACATTTGCAAACATGAGTAGCTTATTATCTGAGAATTTAGATAATATAAATTAGAAAGCGCAGTGGTCTTAGTAAAGATCCCTGTGGTACTACACTCATTACATCACTCCAGTTTGAACAACCACTCATTTGTTCTTTCTTCTACTGACAAATTCTCAATCCAGTCACATGTGTTTCCTTGACATTGTTATTGCTAAAATGGTACGTTTTGTCAGTGTTACACCAGAAAAAAACCAGTAAAGCATTATGTAAAGTATCTCAAGAATAAAACTGGTAAGCTTTGCAGGGGTTCAGGTGTGTTCTGTTCCAGTTCTGTGTGGCCAGTGTGTCTGCAGATCTCCTTAAAGCAATTAAGTCAGTAACCAGCTGGTTTAAGCTTGTTAAGAGCTGAGTTGTGCACAGACACACTGCAGTCCCAGACCAAGACTGGACATCCCTGTTTTAGATTAAGACCGATGTGTCAAACAAGTATTTCACTCAGGTGCTCAACAAAGAAGAAATCAACAGCGTACTGTAGTCCAAAGCTGAGGAAAAGGAAAAGGTTCTAATTTGTGGTAAATAAAAAAGCGGATACCGAAGTTTAAAAGTTATTTTGGAAGGTGTTTCTTGCAAAAAAAACAGAACATAAAGGAAGATTATATTACAGTCAGTGGTCTCATGAATTATTGGGAATCAACAAACACAACCATGGTTCAATAGCTGCCTATTAATTAAGGATTAACACCTGAAGAAGGCTCCACGGCCGAAACGTTGTGTTCTCTTTCTTCTTTTTTTTCAGCATGGAATAAACATATTACTTATTAATTAAGGATATTGTCTATCACTGAGAGTTTGTAAAAATGATTTTGAAATCCACAATTTCAAAGGTAGGTGAGAGCATTCTGAAGCATTTTCATGTTGTACGTAAAAGTATTTATAAATTTCCTCTAGTGGTTTCAAATGCAGTACACATTTGGACCCTCCAGTGCCTTTTTCCCCATACACCAATAATGATCAATTTATCTAGGTTATGTTTTGGTTTCTCAAAATTGTTTCTGCTCTGTTACCCATTTTCACTTAAGGCAAATATTTACAGTATGAATGTTATAGGCATGGTTGACTGTACATTCTGGGCAACATCTCCATTCAGTGTTTTTGATTTACGCAGTGCTCTGATTTCCTGTATGTTGTCTGCATCTTAAACTTTATTAGCACCTCAGTTCTAGATCCAGATCAAAGCAGACACTGTATAAAGGACTAAAAGCATGGGGTACGATAAAGCTGCAGAAGTAGAGAAAAAAAAAACGCATCTTCCCTTTGCAGTTTGGGAAAAAGCCAGCACACTTGTGCCTCTTCAAAGCTGGAACAGAAAAACCACCTTCTTGTAATTGATGCTTCAGCCTTTGCTGTGTTTTCACAAGAGATCAAGCTGCCAAAAAAAAGCTAAACCTACTGGGAGACCAATGCAAGGACATTTAAAGAGGAGAAAAATGGATAACAGCTCCAAGTCAGTTTCTTTTCTTTTATGGCATATTTAACAGCACAGGTGTACTTACATTTAGTGGAAATTCGTTGGGAGGGTTTATGAACACAATTAAAATAATGCCTTAATCTCCTGCTGTCTGCGTTGAAAAGAATTACCAGCACAGCAAGAGACCCTGAAGGTGTCTGTAAGAGGTAGGCATATGGCATTGAATTTTATTTATTGAAGGGCAACAAATGAATAATAATTTACCTTGCAATAAAAAAGGTATTTCTTTAGGCTCAGCTTTTGCTGTAGGTCATGACTGGTAGCTTTTCGCTATGACACATTTGATGTTTCTGTTCAGATAACTGTGTTTTAAAATAGGAGCTTGGGGCTCTGTTGGCTGCTGGATGAAGCTACAGTATTTATTTTCAGGATCATAAATATTTATTATTCTGTACTTTGCTGATATTGTTCTCACATGGTCAACTGCTACTTATAAATGTGAGGGGTGGGAAATAAAAGATGAACGTGGATCCAGGACTGTATTTTTATGTTTAATCACCTCTTTTCATTAACTGATTCAAAACTGATAGAATCAGAGAAATATCCCAAAAGTACCATATTTCACTATACTGTAGCTGCAAAAACATCAGAAATTATTCCATTAACTTTTCATAGTAACAATTTCATCATCAGATGAAATCATCATACAGTATGTTTCACAAATGTTGCTTTGATTACTACAACAGTCGATACATTTCTTCAAGAGGGAATCTTTCATTCGAATAAAACACTTACTGTATACTCCTACAGCATGCAAGATGATCTTAGTTTTACTTTTAAAGTGTTTTATACTATTTCTTTGTGTACTAAATCTTTTTCAAGAGAAGGTTTCATGTGTTTGAAGTGGCAAAGAAATAAATAAATCTTGTCTTTAACATACAGTAGGTGAGAAGTGCCATCTGGTCTCTATGATTCCTACAGATTTTAACTCAATAAAAGATTTTATGCTAAAATATTTTAATCAGGGGGATGTTAAATGTGTGAAATGAATTGCATGTGGCTGACTGGTCCTTCATCTATTAATAGCCAGGATTCGTGAGAATTCATTCCACTCTAACAGCAGTTCTTTTGTTTATGACAAAAGACTAGCATTCCTGATTAACCCCCAGTGAATTACGTCCCATCTTTACCACACCCACCCATCGAAAATATTTTCTCACCACTTTATCCAGTATAGGGTTGTGGGGGAGCCGGAGCCTATCCCAGCGAGCAACAGGCAAGTGGCAGGATACACCCTGGGAGGGACACCAGTCCAAGTTAGGACACACGCTCACCCCAGCACCTGACACCCAGATGTCCGTTACTGTAACCTACCAGTATGTCTTTGGACTGTGGGAGGAAACCAGTGCCCAGAGGAAACCCATGCAAAGACTGGGAGAACTTGCAGGAATTGAACTTGGGGCCCCGGCTCTGGAAGGCAGCCATGCTAATCACGGCACCACAGTGGCCCTGTGCCCCCTTCTTCACCACATCTGACAGAAATTCGTCATGACTGATAACTGAGCTTTTCAATCCACGTACAGGACACTATTTACTTTCCCTCTAGTAATGTATTGTTTGTATGTTATTGCCATACACATGAAAGCTAACTGAAACATTGAATATTGTTATTGTTTTCTAAAGTAAAATGTAGAAGATAAATACCTTTTAACAGATACATACATTTTATTTTACATTTAAAAATTATTTTATATTTCAATTGTAGAACTGTCATTCTCAGTACTCATTGTCATACTGTTTATTCTTAAATTACAGTGCCACATTTAATGAAATTCAGATAATTGTCGTTTTTTGTAGTGTTATTCAATATTCATCGGTTGCAGCACCAACAAAAGTGACAGTCACTTGCTATGTGACAAAGGAATATGAGAACTACAATTGCATTTTGCTGGAATACTCCAAACAAGACACCTGAGTAAGCCCTTGTTTTCTTATTGTGAAACAAAGGTACATTGAAAATGTCTGCAACATCCATTCATCCATTCATTTAAAAAAAAGTCTAGACTAGAAAGCTAATTTCAAAGAGGGCGGGAGTGAAACATTCATGTCAGAGTTAACTGATGGCCTAACTCATTTCTCTTTAACAGAGATCACAGACTCTTGTTTGTTGATGAAAAAAATGTCTCAGGAAATTTTCCAGCCTATAATGAATTTTCATTTTTACTTTGCTGTCAAAAGCAATGGTACAAAATAACAAAGGGTGTCTTAATGAAATGAGTCCTGCAAGGTGAGACAATTTCTATGATCAAAAGAACAAAACAAGCTCCTTTCTCAGAGCGGGGCAGTTAATGGCAGCTGCCCTAAGACTTCAGACTGCGACTGAAATGGAACTCAGAGACCCTGAGGGCTTTATGTTCATACAAAATCAATCAATATGTATTAACATTAGCTTCCTTACCTATTTCAACAGCTTTGGTTTCTTGTGTATGTTTTCAGTTTTGTACTGTAAACGACTTCAGCTTTAGACTAGAGGACACCACGAGAATAAATAAGGTTACAAGGGAATAATTTAGCCAATCTTATGTCTGTAGTTTAATGACGTAGAGCCATTTCTTTAAGGATCTTCTGGAGTCAGAGTCCAAAGCACGGCTAGGAGGTTCTGTTCTACACACAGACCACTCTCTATGTTAACAAGTAGCTCTTTTTTTGTCCCTCAGATGCTCAAAACGTCATTTTCAATTGTGTCTTAAAAATCAAGATTATGACTGCGTGTTGTGGAGTAGAATTACTTTGCGTTCTGCATTGAAATGTTGCTTTTGGAGTAACATTCAGAGCTGATGGTGCAGGATACGCTGGATGTCTGACTTAGGTTTTTACATCACATCATAAAATATCATTGCTATTTTTTTACTCTTCCATTTAATTTATAGATTTATGAGTCAAACTTTGGTCCAGAACTGAGAAATATGAACTCCCTTTTCTGGTTTCAGAAATACACAGTTAGTGAATTTAAATTTCATACAGTACACAGTAAAATACACGTAGATTTTACACAATTCAGATTTATTTCACAACTTTGCTAAGAGAGTGCCACAAGGTTCTGTCCTGTGCTTTACTTGACAATGATGATGCTTATACTCATTCAAGCCCTGTTTATTATCCTGATCTTCCTGACGATATGCCTGATCTACAGATTAAGTTCATTCGAATTTAGCAGGCAGTTTGTGAACTGCTTTTCCTGCTGAAGTCTAGTAAAATTAAATACTGTAAACTGATGGAAAAAAGAAATGCAACATTTCCTGGAATGAGAATACTATAGTTATAGCTCAACAGCATTAATGGACTCAACTAATGGTCTCAAACAGAACAGGAATGAGAATAATATATTTTTAGCTTATGTACAGTACTTTCACAAAAAGTTGTCCCTCTGACCAGCAATACAGCTTGTGCAGTGAGGCATTGCAACTTGCCAATCACACAAAAGCTTGTTAGGTGCACTTTTACCCAACGAGGTCCAGGTGGAACAATGCCTGATCAGGTCACCTTTAAAAAGGCCTTAATTCAAAGCTTAGGTCTCTGCAAGAAAAAAGCCACACTTTGTCAGTTTCTGTGCATTCTATAATGCCTCGAATGTCATCAGAAGCAAGGGAAAGGGGCTGCTGGCATGCTGCAGGCAGGCATGTCATGTGCCAGCATTGCCAGACATTATGGAGTAAGCCGCTCCACTGTGTCCTGACTGCAGAGAAGATTTCAGCAGACTGGCAGGACAGATGATCATCCAAGATCCGGTGGCCCTCGAATGACCACACCAGAGCAGGACCGACACTTCAGACTGGTCCATCTGAGAGATTGTTTCAGATCTGCCACCCGTACTGCTGCTGAAACTGTTAGAAGACACAATGCCCACATCAGTGACAGGACAGTGGGGGTCCATGCTTCTGGCCTCTGAGCAAGACGACCTGTCAGAGGCCCTCTGCTCACACCTCCTAGACGTCACACCGACCGGCTTGGGCCACACAGGCTGTGATGGACTCGTCAGCAGTGGCATCAGGTCCTCCTCACAGATGAGTCACTGTTCAACTGTTCAACGCAGACGGGACGGCCAGGGTGTGGAGGAGGAGGTGTTGCATTTCTTTTTTCCATCAGCATATATGCCTTCCAATAAAAATAATTTGAACTGCTCCCTTGATAATGATTGTAAAACACCTAAAGAAAGGTTTTTAGTTCTAGACTTAAATCTTTGCAACAACCTGTTAAGTTACAGTATGTCATGTAATGTTGCTTACAGTACTTCAAACTGATTTCAATGCAACACTAGTATAATTTATACTATAAGTCTCTTGAAAAGTGGGCTTTAAGAAGGCTGAAGAAGGCTACACCCGAAGAAGGCTCCACAGCCGAAATGTTGTGTTTCTTTTCTTCTCTTTTCAGCAGGGAATAAACCTTTACTTGTTCCTTTGCAGCCTCCACATGCTGACGCAGCTCCCTACTCGAACTACTATAAGCCTGTTGACTGGATAATCATTGCAAATGAGAATTTGATGACATTGACCTGCCTGGTTAAATATGATGATTATTATATATTAATATGTGTGGAAGCTCAACAGGATATGTAAAAAGGAAGAATCTAAGATGTCCTACCATCAAAGGTTATTATTTTGTACTTTTTACAGTACAGTATGTGAGGATGTTAAACGCCCCAGTAATGTCTAATTACTTCATATGTGGCACCAGCTGGGAATCAAATATATAATTAAACACAATGAAATTCTATAACTTCATTTGTCTTCATATTAGGTCAGGGATCATATTCAGATAGCATGTTTGTATTTTCTTTTCATCTAGCATGCAGTAAGACAAACATAAACTCCAGTAACAGATGGGGGTGAATGGTTTGAAGTAGATACTCCATTTATGTTTTGTGCTTCTGTGCTGCAATATTGGTGACTGAATGGATTTAGTTAAATACTTGCTCCCTTCAGAAGTGTGATTTGCATTGCATTATTTCTAGGACTTTCTCTATACAATTTACAGAATTACACTGCTTTTAATATACTGTACTGTACATATTTGAGTTAAATGCTCTGGCAATCAGAAGAATCAATAGCAATTATCCCAGGTTAACCAGAAAGGAAAGTGAAGAAAGGAAATTTGGATGACGGACATTACCATCTATTTGCGTTAAAGACGTTTACATTGAAATTGT